CCCCTTCTCTGACCCTAAAAAGATGCCTGAAAACTTTCTCCATCCCTCCAACTTGGAGAATTCTTGCCCCCAAACTCAGCTTCCCTTTCACAGTTTCAGAGATCTTCGGACTTATTCTCACTGCACAGTCAAAACAATAGAATGGTTAGTTGATTTCAAGATGGAAAACAGATTGGTCACAGAATCACAAAGAAAGAGAACTTCACAAAAATTTATAGCGCTACCCTCATTTTTCTTTAGATTGCATGGCTTATTTAATATATAGAATACAGGTCTTTGATGCTGATTCAGTCCTTGTAACTGATGAAGCGAGTTAAAATGGCTACAAGTAGCTGGTTGGACTGAATCGGCAAGTCGTAAATATCAAATAATGGAGTTTTCTTCCAAAGGGAAAACTGGAGGATTTGTGAAAAGTGGGTTGTTCTTGTGATTTGACTTCTCCCACAAGGGGTGCACTTTACTTCCCCCACAAACTTCAAATAATTCGATCAACTCTTCATCGGATTTGCAATCTTTTCAAATGTAAAGAAGTGTAATTACCATGCTCTCGGATGCCGTGTGCGAAAACATCAGCTTTCTTTCCCAACTTGTTCATTCTTTTAAGCACTGAATTGCGCTTGGAAGACACACTTGCTGGAGAACGCATATGAGATTGACTATGGTTGTATGGCTTGGATGAAATGGCTCTTGACGACTTCCGAACTGCGTATGTTGCAGCAATGACTGGAATTCCCATTACGTGATCAAGAAATTTGGTTGCCATCTTCAATGAGAAGTTGTTATGCTCTTTTCTCTCAAAGTACTGCCTAGAAGCTCCTGAACTGTTAAGGAAGAAGAAAGATTTTTGCTTGCTGAAGTTTGGTTATCTTCAGGTCTATATAAAGAGGTGATAAAATGGCTGGCGACTGCCAACTTTTGGCTGCATGACTCATCTGTTGATCATCAACATCATAAAGGCAGGCTCAAACACTTCGTCGGAGTTTTTGAAGTAGGATAATGTGTGACCCCCCTTGTGCTTTTGGAAAGAGGACTAAGGCAAAATCTAAATTTTCATGAAGACATTGTAAAGATGGAGGATCTATGTTCTGCTTTTGTATTTATTTTCCTAGTGGACGGCACAAGATATCTTCTTCTCATTGAATAACTCCATGAATTTTAGGTTCTATGGTCATCATTTAATTTAATTCTCCGTAAAAATTTAAAAAGTTCATGAATATGCCTAATAGTGATTGCATTACATTTTGACAGATATTCTAGGAATAGATCATCAACTTTCAATGAAAAAAAATATGTAGTTCCTAAACTTTTTTTGTTTGGAAGTATGTGGAATGAATCTTTTTACATGTTCTTCCTTCTATTTTATTTCTTTCCCGTTTTTTCTCCTGTTTGATTGGTGGGTTTGGGGTTTGCTTCCATCAGTTATACCTGTCTCTAAAAGTAATTATGAGAAAGATAATATTATTTTTAATAAAGGGTAAACCAAACATGCTGATTTGGTGATGATCTATCCCTTGTCTAAGCATTGTTCGGATGCGTCAACGTATTTTGCTTTTGAGCTGGAATTGCAACTTCCTGACGCCAGTCCTTATTTGGATAGCACGAGAAAGGTCTTTAAAGAATTCCCCATGGTCTCATCACCCCGGGCGGCGACTATGTTGGCCCAAAAAAGAAATGTAAGACCGTGCATGATCTTTTCCATGTTCTGCAAACATGAGTATGACCCACGTCACCATGTTTAGAATTTCCATTTTTCAGGATTTTGTGCTGTTTCGCAGAGTTACAGTTGGGCGATATCTGAGGATATGACAACCAAACACGTTCCTAAGTATCAGGCCGTGTTGAAGGTCTGGAAAACGAACCCAAAGGCCTTTTGCTGGCGAAGCAATCACTCATCTATCAGAACGAGCAATGCAGCAGCAGCAAGCTCGATCTTATTATTCTCAAAGGAAGTTGGGGACATATTGATATCACACGTCTGTTCTCGTCATGCAGAGTTCATAGGCCGACACCAAATAACAGAAAAGAAAGAAAGTAAATGAAAAGATAAAAAAAAAAAGGACTGGAAGAGAGAACACAAAGCCACAAGTTATAGGCCACCATGTGCAGGTTTTGCACGAATCTCTTTCACATGACCAGTTCCTTTCTTTTTCTTTATTAGACCCTTGGTGCTGAGGTGTGGTTGAGTGGGCAATAGGCCAGGCTGAGCTGCACATGCCTCCTAACTACTGTTCATGCCCATCTCAGCATACAACTCAGTCGAGACTGGACGAATGAAAGTAGAGCAGCTGCAAGAGCCGAGCAGTTCTTTACTTTTTCTTCTTCTGAGGAGGATTGCCATGTCACGGCCACATCGGCCTTGTCACCCACATGAGTTGATCGGTCAATTAGGGTCCTTAAGCTTTAAGGTATTAAAAGGCAGCGCGAAAGATAAAGAAAAAGGCGGATAAGCGAAAAGAGCTCATTCCCACCTAGAGTGTCAAGCAGTTGATAAAGTGTGATGGTCCGTGTCTCATCTCATACAATATCTTGGCTCATAAGGTAACTGCCAAACTGATAACTCCTGGTCAACTGTCATTTCTCTGACTTCCCAAGAAATGATAAGATAAGCAGATGATGAGGAATCTTGGAATTGCTATTCCTTTCACTTGTCTGCATCTTTTCGGCAAAAGTACACAACAAGTGTCATAACTTGTGTACGGCGATCACTTTGGTGCCATAACTTTTTTTTCGGATCACTTTGGTGCCAAGTCGGAGTAAAAGAGATCACTTTAGTGCCAATTTGACCGGAAATCCGACGTGACATTTTTTATTAATTTTTTACGCCGACGTGGCTCGCCGGAGGCTGAGTCAGCATGTACAGTCAGTAATTTTAATTTTAAATAATTTTTTTAGCGTGTACAGTCAGCATTTTTAATTTTAAATATTTTTTTTCCTTTTTTTTTCTTCTTTCCTTTTTCTTTTCTTTTCTTTTTTTTCTTTTCTCCCCTCGCCGGCCAGCCACCGGCGAAGCCCGGGAAGGGCTAGGCGAGGGCGGCCTTGCCCATGGCCGGCGAGGGGCGGCCGACCCTCGCCGGCGACAGGCGAGGCCAGCCCTCGCTCGACGCCGGCGAGGGTCGCCTCGCGGATCTCCCTCGCTCGGGCGGGCGAGGGTCTCCCTCGCTCGAGTCGGGCGTGGGCGAGGGAAGCCCTCGCCGGGCGGGCGAGGGTCACCCTCGCTCGAGTCGGGCATGGGCGACCATCGCCCGACGCCGGCGAGGGTCGCCCTAGCCGGATCCGGCGAGGGCGACCCTCGCCCGTCCGGCGAGGGCTTCCCTCGCCCGACGCCGGCGAGGGTCGCCCTCGCCGAATCGGCGAGGGCGACCCTCGCCGGCATCGGCGAGGGCCGCCTCGCTCGGGCTGGCCTCGCCTGTCGCCGGCGGAGGTCGGCCGCCCCTCGCCGGCCATGGGCAAGGCCGCCCTCGCCCAGCCCTTCCCGGGCTTCGCCGGTGGCCACCGGCGACCGGCCGGCGAGGGGAGAAAAGAAAAAAAAGAAAAGAAAAGAAAAAAAAAGGAAAGAAGAAAAAAAAAAGAAAAAAAAATATTTAAAATAAAAAATGTTGACTGTACACGCTGAAAAAAATTATTTAAAAAAAAATGCTGATTGTACACACTGACTCAGCCTCCGGCGAGCCACGTCGGCGTAAAAAATTAATAAAAAATGTCACATCAGATTTCCGGCCAAATTGGCACTAAAGTGATCTCTTTTGCTCCGACTTGACACCAAAGTAATCCGAACAAAAGTTATGGCACCAAAGTGATCGCCGTACACAAGTTATGGCACCAAAGTGATCGCCGTACACAAGTTATGGCATTTGTAGTGTACTTTTGCCGCATCTTTTCCCAAGTGGCATAATCAGGACGTTGTCACATCAGATGATTAACTACATCACACACAGCCGAAGACTTCTTTTAAAGAAGAACATTGGATTGACTGAGAGAAAGGATATGCAAAAAGGCAATCATCTTCCAATCAAGCAAAGAGCAGCAACCCCCCAAAATTTCATGACCTTGTCCAAGCAATCCATTAGAATAGTTGAGCCTCTGATTGACAAGTACCCAGAAGTGGAAAGAGGGCAATAGGACACAATGTGTTATTAATCGTATGAGAGAAACTCGGCAGTGAAACTTTGGAGAGGCAAACTCCTCGCTCTAGCCTCTCATTTCGTTTGTTTGGTGTGTTGAGACGAGACAGACTAACATAATCAGTTGATGCATCCATCTTAATACTTGAATCTCATGTAGACTTTAGTTTAATATCAATCTCTACTATTTCAAATAACTTGGAATTGTGATCGTGAGAAATTTCGAGTTCAAATACTAAATGAGCCTAATTTGCAACAGCTTTCCGGATCTTCAGCAATATCTACCCACACCATCCTATAAGATTGAAAATTTACTGAGCCATCCTTGAAATCAAGTATTCGGTCTTTCTCACTTAGTTAAAAACAAGTTCGAATGACATATTGCCCTCATCTCAATTGCATTCTAGGAGGACATCGTACAGGAAAGAGTGTCAGCCAACCACGAAACTATCTTTAGGCTAGAAGATATCAATTTGTTTTATGTCAACTTCTAAATGACTGGATTGAGTAGACCAAGTGGGTAGACCAGAAATTGTGCTCTTTTTTAGTCCTCAAAACCTCCCATTATCAAGTGTTAAATTTCTCCAGTTTCTGCTCGATCGAATCCTTTACTTAATGCTGGTCACCTCCCTAAAAAGCAACGTCAACATGCTCCAAAGGTTGGGTTCTCAAACTAGGTCATTGGAATTGGAGGATATGTTGAATCAAGCTTAGTCTTGTTTTAGTGGCTAACCTCCCCCACTGGCCTCCATAGAAAGGTTTTCTCATAGTTGCAGACTGACATAGCCAAAATGGTCATATTGGAATTACATGAGATTGACACTAGAACTTCAAATAAGAATCGGCACTAAAATCTTGGTGAAGTCACTCCCAAGATCCTTTAACAATCGGAGAACTTGAACTGGTTTGATTTTCCAAGAATAATATATTTTCATCTCACAAGCACTACTCGAAAGCAGAGAAGAGACGATCCAGAAAATAGATACAAGGCCAAACGAAGGCCACCAAAGAATCGAGAAAATAGACCTCACAGAACAGGACTCTATGTAGTGATCCTCACTGTATGACAGAGCACAACCAATATACCTTTCAGTCTTTCATTTACATCTCGTATACAGATTACCTCTGAGCTGATGCACGCGGCATCGGATATGTTATGTGACCTACCCTCATGGGTGCACCAGGGACCATGGCCCCCGGCACCGGGGCTCTAACACCATATACCATATGTGAGGGACCAGGGAGGTTCACTGGAGTCCCGGCAGCAGAAACAAGCGGCCGCCTATCAATTGCCCAATCATTGGAGCACCGTAAATACTGACACTGGCAGGGCCAGTTGGTGGTTGAGAGGGCTGTTTACTAGGTTTGCTGGACGAAACTCCTGCTGTAGAACTGTTTGTTCGACCAGTGATTGGTCCTTGGGGTGTCGAGAGTTCTCTGTTGTTAATGCTAGCAATGTCGTGAATGCTAGAACGGCTCCTATCTTTGTTCATCGAGTTCAACCTGATGAACTACTTCTGGGCATGGCTAATTTTCAAGTGCAAAAAGAAACTGATGAAGTTTCAGCCGTGGGAGATCAAAAAAAGTTTCAGTTATGGATTTTCCTTGCAAGACTTACCGTGTACATCTGTCGGGGGGGCTATACCACAACTCGAAGGGGTATCCATCTATTCCTAGTTCTTGTGCATATGGGATGGAGAGTCATTTCCTTTGAGTTATATGTAACCAGAAGTTTATCTATGTAAATCGCAGCAAACTTGCTTTCTTTCATGACATTCAAACAATTTTATTACTTTTCAATGCTCCTTTTCATATGCTGGGTGTTGGCATATTAATGCAGTGCCTTATCTGTATATTTTCTGCAAATTCTCCTCTAGAGATTATGGATAAGATATAGTATTACACAGAAGAGGATGTTGGGATAAGTTGCATTTGATCAACACATGTATTCTCCATCTTGGTCAGTGGCTGGAAGTTCGATTCCGGCTAACACTCCACGTGCAAGTTACCTTATAAAATTTGCGAAAATCCTCGGTGTTTGGTTTGCATTATCTTGAAAGAGAGTTTAGTTGACCTATCAGAAGAAGCAATGGACTTTTTGGTTGTTGTGACGAGTGACGTTGTAAAAACTCTGTTCTGCTATTGCCTGGACATGCTCCAGCTTATTTGACTAATCCAAGTTTTTTAGTTTAAAGGATCATGGGAATCTGTCTTGACTTAAAATTTTCATTCCCATGAAGATTAGAAGAAAGGATGCGGATGCTACACATTGTAGGCTACCCTTGAGGGAGTGAAAGGGAATGGAATCTTATTGGAACTGAGCCAGTATTTGGAGACAGTACTTTTAAGGTAACATGTGATATGTGATGAAATGTTTCTCAAGAGGGTCATATTGTTTCAGCAAATGGCTCCATTCCTCGATTTTAAGCATCCTTATGCTATCTGCATTTGCCGAATGTCATTTGCTTCTAGCTTCAATAGGTTCATTTCAACTTGTATTCTGGAAGGTCCTGAAGAAGGATAAACACTGGAGAGAAATTCTCTCTCTACTCAATATACGTCCTTATGGATAGTTTTCTTCAGTTAAGAGGATGAACATGTCTCAAATCATGAAATCGGCTTGTAATGAGCAAGTTGAAAGGCTCATAAGCTGGAGTTAATTTGTTCTTCAGGAAGCAAGATTCAGGATAACTTGAATTTTAGCAGCTGCTTTACTAACAGAATTCCATACATTTTCTACAATCGTGTAGTTTCCACTTTCAAGTAATAAAATTGGCGCAGTGGGCTGTAGAGCGAGCAGCTCTTTTGTCAATTACGAGTGACCAACTTGCAATACCTGCTATACTTGAGAGATTGCCTGTTGAAGGTGCTTCAGTGTCTTCCGATGATTTAAGAACCCCATGAACCAGAAATCAAAATTGTCGACCGTGACTATCTGTATGTACTTCTCTGGCGGCCTCTCAACATTTTCACTTTGGTTTGCCTCCTCTATCTTGGAAAGTGGGATTGACACCTGTAGATAAGCAAGAAGTTCATCATTAATCTTTATTTTATGAGGAAAGAGAAAAAAAGGTATAAAGCAGCATAGAGCAGAAGAGTTTCATGTTCGCTTTGCCAATTACCTTGTAATGGATTCGGACAGATTCTCCATTTGGGGATGGCAATTTTATCGCCCTCTCGCTGCAGAAGGCAACTTTTTCCGTAGAGATGAAGAGGAGACCTGCTATAGGACCTGCTGTTGTTGACAGATAACACTGGGAAGCCTTTGTGAGTCTCTCCCCTTCTCTGACGCTAAACAGATGCCTGAAAACTTTCTCCATCCCTCCTACTTGGAGAATTCTTGCCCCCAAACTCAGCTTCCCTTTCACAGTTTCAGAGATCTTCGAACTTAATCTCACTGCACAGTCAAAACAACAGAATTATTCAAGATGAAAAACAGATTGGTCACAGAATCACAAAGAGAGAAAACTTCACAAAAATTTATAGCGCTACCCTCGTTTTTCTTTAGATTGCATGGCTCATTTATTATTGAAAATACAGGTCTTTGATGCTGATTCAGTCCATGTAACTGATAAAGCGAGTTAAAATGGCTATAAGTAGCTGGTTGGACTGAATCGGCAAGTCGTAAATTTTAAGACGGAGTTTTCTTCCAACAGGAAAACTGAAGGATTTGTGAAAACTGGGTTGTTCTTGTGATTTGAGTTTTTCCCACAAGGGTTGAACTTTACTTCCCCCACAAACTTCAAATAATTCGATCAACTCTTCATCGGATTTACGATCTTTTCGGATGCAAAGAAGTGTAATTACCATGCTCTCGGATGCCGTGTGCGAAAACATCAGCTTTCTTTCCCAACTTGTTCATTCTTTTAAGCACTGAATTGCGCTTGGAAGACACACTTGCTGGAGAACGCACATGAGATTGACTATGGTTGTATGGCTTGGATGAAATGGCTCTTGACGACTTCCAAACTGTGTATGTTGCAGCAATGACTGGAATTCCCATAATGTGATCAAGAAGTTTGGTTGCCATCTTCAATGAGAAGTTGTTATGCTCTTTTCTCTCAATGTACTGCCTAGAAGCTCCTGAATTGTCAAGGAAGAAAGATTTTTGCTTGCTGAAGTTTGGTTACATTCAGGTCTATATAAAGAGGTGGTAAAATGGCTGACGACTGCCAACTTTTGGCTGCAGACTCATCTGTTGATCATCAACGCCACAAAGGCAGACTCAAACACTTTGTCGGAGTTTTTTAGGAGGATAATGTGTGACCCCCCTTGTGCTTTTAGAAAGAGGACTGGTAAAATCTAGATTTTCATCAAGACATTGTAAAGATAGTGGAACTGTGTCCTGCTTTTTTATTTATTTTCCCAGTAGATGGCTCAAGATTTCTTCTTCTCATTGAATAACTCCATGAATTTTAGGTTCTATGGTCATCATTTAATTTGATTCTTAGTAGAGATTTGAAATGTTCGTGAATTAGCCTAATAGTAATTGCAATATATATTGACAGATGTTCTAGGAATAGATCATCAACTTTCAATGAAAAAAAAATATAGTTCCTACATTTTTTTTGTTTGCAAGTATGTGGAATGAATCTGTTTATATGTTCTTTGTTCTATTTAATTTCTTACCCGTTTTTCTCCTGTTTGATTGGGGGGTCTGGGGTTTGCTTCCAATCAGTTATACCGGTCTCTAAAAGCAACTATGAGAAAGATAATATTATTTTAATAAAGGGTAAACCAAACATGTTGATTTGGTGATGATCTATCCCTTTGTCTAAGCACTGTTCGGATGCGTCAACGAATTTTGCTTTTGAGCTGGAATTGCAACTTTCTGACGCCAGTCCTTATTTGGATAGCACGAGAAAGGTCTTTAAAGAATTCCCCATAGTCTCATCACCCCGGGCGGCGACTATGTTGGCCCAAAAAAGAAATGTAAGACCGTGCATGATCTTTTCCATGTTCTGCAAACATGAGTATGACCCACGTCACCATGTTTAGAATTTCCATTTTTCAGGATTTTGTGCGGGTTTGCAGCGTTACAGTTGGGCGATATCCGAGGATATGACAACCAAACACGTTCCTAAGTATCGTGCCGTGTTGGAGGTCTAGAAAACGAACCCAAAGGCCTTTTGCTAGCGTAGCAATCACTCATCTATCAGAACGAGCAATGAAGCAGCAGCAAACTCGATCTCATTATTCTCAAAGGAAGTTGGGGACATATTCACATCATACCTCTGTTCTCGTCATGCAGAGTTCATAGGCCAACACCAGATAACTAAAAAAAGAACGAGAGGAAAAGAAAAGATAAACAAAAAGACTGGAAGAGACAACACAAAGCCACAAGTTATAGGCCACCATGTGCAGGTTTTGCACGAATCTCTTTCACATGACCTATTCCTTTCTTTTTCTTTATTAGACGCTTGGTGCTGGGGTGTGGTTGAGTGGGCAATAGGCCAGGCTGAGCTGCACATGCCTCCTAACTACCGTTCATGCCCATCTCAGCGTACAACTAAGTCGAGACTGGACGAATGAAAGTAGAGCAGCTGCGAGAGCCGAGCACTTCTTTACTTTTTCTTCTTCTTCTGAGGATTGCCATGTCACAGTCACATCGGCCTTGTCAGCCACATGAGTTGATCGATCAATTAGGGTCCTTAAGCTTTAAGGCATTAAAAGGCAGCGCGAAAGATAAAGAAAAAGGTGGATAAGCGAAAAGAGCTCATTCCCACCTAGAGTGTCGAGCAGTTGATAAAGTGTGATGGTCTGTGTCTCATCTCATACAATATCTTGGCTCATAAGGTAACTGCCGAACTGATAACTCCTGGTCAACTGTCATTTCTCTGACTTCCCAAGAAATGATAAGATAAGCAGATGATGAGGAATCTTGGAATTGCAATTCCTTTCACTTGTCTGCATCTTTTCCCAAGTGGCATAATCAGGACGTTGTAACATCAGATGATTAACGACATCACACGCAGCCGAGGACTTCTTTTAAAGAAGAACATTGGATTGACCGAGAGAAACGATATGCAAAAAGGCAATCATCTTCCAATCAAGCAAAGAGCAGCAACCCCCCAAAATTTCATGACCTTGTCAAAGCAATCCATTAGAATAGTTGAGCCTCTGATTGACAAGCACCCAGAAGTGGGAAGAGGGCAATAGGACACAATGTGTTATTAATCGTATGAGAGAAACTCGGCAGTGAAACTTTGGAGAGACGAACTCCTCGTTCTAGCCTCTCACTTCGTTTGTTTAGTGTGTGTAGACGAGGCAGACTAACATAAGTAGTTGACACATCCATCTTAATACTTGAATCTCATGTAGACTTTAGTTTAATATCAATCTCTACTATTTCAAATATCTTGGAATTGTGATCGTGAGAAATTTCGAGTTCAAATACTAAACGAGCCTAATTTGCAACAGCTTTCCGGGTCTTCGGCAATATCTACCTACATCATCCTATAAGATTGAAAATTTACTGAGCCATCCTTGAACTCAAGTATTCAGTCTTTTTCATTTAGGAAAAAACAAGTTCGAATGACATATTGCCCCCATCTCAATTGCATTCTAGGAGGATATCGTACAGGAAAGAGCGTTAGCCAACCACGAAACTATCTTTAGGCTAGAAGATATTAATTTGATTTATGTCAACTTCCAAATGACTGGATTGAGTAGACCAAGCGGATAGGCCAGAAATTGTGCTCCTTTTTAGTCCTCAAAACCTTCCATTATCAAGTAGGGGTGAGCGATTCCAGGTTCCTTACAAGTTTCACATGAAACCTGGAACCTACCATCGAGTATAGGTTTCCTATTTTTTGAAACCTAAAATCTATCCTTTGGAACCTGGAACCTGGAACCTGGAACCTAGAGCCTATCCTGTCACAGGTTCTAGGGTCATAGGTTTTTTTTTATTGCATTTTTAGTTAAATAAAAAAAAATGAACGCAATAATACTGAACAAGTTTGTTATTCATCAAAGAGAATACAAAAGACTAGTTTTTCTGACATTACGGTTCAAATAAATATAACTAAAATGAGAAGTCATTGCATGAATTGATACTAGGGGTGAGTAGTTTCATGTTCCGTATAGGTTTTACCCATGATAATAGATTTCTCATTTTTTGGAACTTGAAACCTATCCTATTACAGGTTCGAGGGTCGATTCCAGAGTCTATTCAGGTTCTACCTGTATTATTAATTGAACAATTACAGTGAATCATCACATTTAATAACCACCACTTACTGCTATGATCCACTAACCATAACTTATATTTAGACACACGAATAATAGGAAACATTAACAAGTCATAAAATAAAAGCTCAGACTAGTAGTTCCAGATTATATACTCATCATCTAATGCGATGAAACACTGCAAGATCACGAAAAGATAGGTTCAAGTTTCAGGTTTCAGGTTCTACCTACCTAGAATTTAGAACCTACCAATCGAAACAAGTTTATCAATTTTTGGAACCTAGAACCTAGAACCTACCCTGTATACCTTGGAACCTGTAACCTACAGATTCCCATTGATCAGATTCTCAGGTTCCAGGGTAGAATCTGGAACCATGCTCACCCTTATTATCAAGTGTCAAATTTCTCCAGTTTCTGCTCGATTGAGTCCTTAATGCTGGTCACCTCCCTAAAAAGCAACGTCAACGTGCTCCAAAGGTTGGATTCTCAAACTAGGTCACTGGAATTGGAGGGTAACTTGAATCAAGCTTTGTCTTGTTTTAGTGGCTAACCTCCCCTACTGGTCTCCATAGAAAGGTTTTCTCATAGTTGCAGACTGACATAGCCAAATTGGTCATATTGGAATCACATGAGATTGGCACTAGAATTTCAAGTAAGAATCATCACTAAAATCTTTGTGAAGTCACTCCCAAGATCCACTGACAATCGGAGAACTCGAATTGGTTTGAATTTCTAAGCATAGTATATTCTCATCTCACAAGCACTACTCGTAAGCAGAGAAGAGACAATCAAGAAAATAGATGCAAGGCCAAAAGAAGGCCACCAAAGAATCGAGACAACAGACCTCACAGAACAGGACTCTAAGTAGTGATCCTTGCTATATCACAGAGCACAACCAATATACCTTTCAGTCTTTAATTTACATCTCATGTACTAATTACCTCTGAGCTGATGCATGCGGCATCGAATATGTTACGTGACCTACATTCATGGGTGCACCAGGAACCATGGCCCCTGGCACCGGGGCTCTAACACCATATGCCATAAGTGAGGGACCAGGGAGGTTCACTGGAGTCCCGACAGCAGAAACAAGCGGCCCGCCTATTGGTTGCCCGATCATTGGAGCACCATAAATACTGACACTGGCAGGGCCAGTTGGTGGTTGAGAGGACTGTTTACTAGGTTTGCTGGATGAAACTCCTGCCGTAGAACTGTCTGTTTGACCAGTGATTGGTGCTTGGGGTGTCGAGAGTTCTCTGTTGTCAATACTGGTAATATCGTGAATGCTAGAACGCCTCCTATCTTTGTTCATCGAGTTCAACCTTATGAAGTACTTCTGGGCATGGCTAGCCACTTGTGTAGGTGTTCTTGTCACCACAAAGTTTCGGGAAATGCTTCGCCAATCTCCCTTCCCATATTTATCTAAGCCAAGTAGGAATAATCTGCTTTCCAGAAACAAGAAATCAGTCAAAATGTTTAGAACACATCGTTATAATCATGCTAGTATGAAAACCAAAGAGTTGAAGGGAATTTTAATCCACAACGAACGATGCAGGACATTCGCGATCAAGTCTACCGTTGGGAAGTGGGAGATTAATTGGCTGATACATAATCCACTCATCTGTTCAGAAAGCCTGATTTCTTAGCACAAGACTCCATGCCATTTCGGACTCAGGTGCACAATGAAGCTTTTGCTCATAATCGCATCAATTCATACTGAGGCTATTGATATCATCATATTCCACGTTTCCCTATTTCTTCACCTGATTGATGCAAATCAGACTGGCTAACGCGATGCCCAAGTTTAGGCCAAGGGTTCCATTATTTTCGTTTTATATATAAGCAAGGTTTCTACGATTTTATTCGGAGGTTGGACTGATCGAGTCTTCAGTTTGCCTATTTACAGCCTTCAGTCCTCCTGAGACTGGTAATGCCAAAATCCATAGAGCAACATAATCTCTTTCAAATAATAAGAAAACTATAATTCAGAGATTATGAAATGCTCAGTTCTTGGTTTCATGTATCAATTAAACCTTGTATTTTGACTTTACCTCAGCCTTTTATTTCTCCTTCCCGGTTTTTCTCTTATACTAAAAGATCGAGCATACCATTGTCAGCTCTGCAGACCACATGAACCCTCGTCACAGTACCTAATCCAGAGGCCCGGCAAGGCGGCCATTTATTGAAACTTTGATCTGCTAGCCTCAACCGAATACAATACCGAGTTCTTTAGAAGCATTAACTCTCCTCTCTATCTCTTGCTCCCCAAATAAGATATAGAGGGTTTACAGTTTGTTTTGGATTGTTGAAACTTCAATGGACTGTCTACTGGAAAGTTGTATTGTACTTATCTGAATTGTACTCATCTACTTTGAGAGAGAGAGAGAGAGAGAGAGAGAGAGCTCTCATGAACAAAATGTAAGTCGGATAGGCCTCAAACTTGCTAAACAAAATGACGCCCAATCTTGGAAAGGTAAATGTCTTCAGCATTATCGATAATTTCAATGCTGAAGAGCGAAACAAGGCCAACTTCCCCGTCCAGCAAAATGGCAATGTATGTTACCTTCTTGAGCTTTTTTTTGAATACAAGAGATGAGAAAACTCAAGGAAACATGCATGCAATCCATGCTCTTGGTTACTTCTTTCTAAATATTCTAGATCTATACTTTGCATCACCATCGACAGACACGAGAATCAGCCAACCAACTATATAATCTAACTAACCATAAGGGCAAAAGAAATCTCAAGAGACCACCTTAAGATCTATCACCTGAAACCTGTCTTAAACTCAGGATGGTGACAGAATGCCCTAAAATAAAAGCTTAATCTGACATAAAAACTATTAAGTAACATCATGTAGAATAAGCCAAAGTAGAAGAATTATATGCATACAAGCACACAGGCAGGAATGCACATACACAGGCAAGCATCATTGTAGTACGTATATGGTGGTTCGAAAGCCGCAAAAGTGTCATGGTTGCGTACTCTGTGAAATTTTGTCCAGCAGGCTCTCCTACTTTAAACAATTCTTTAATCTTCCATAAATCTATCGATTTGTATTTATGATGACTGGATCTCGATATTGTCATGAAGATTTGTGCTAGATTTTGTTTAATTTTGTATAAACTAGTTGATGTATGTTACTTGAGTCGTTTAAGAAAAAAAGAGAAAAGAAAAGCACCTGTGTTCTTCTTCCGTCCAAGCAATTCCCTTCCGACGTTCTTGGTCTGACCTCGATGCCTTCACCCCGTGATTGGAGTCGCCATGGAGATTCCCAACATGACCGCCCTTCTTACTACTCGTCTCATCGCTGCCATGGCTCACTGAACCCTTTGAACAACTGTAAGGAGGCAGTTCCACACAACCCGACCCTATCCTATTGACATCATCGACCAGAATTTCATAGTGACGATTAATCTCTTCTACAGTTTTCCCGGGCACATCGGCGGCTATCTTCTCCCATCGATCAGCCAAATCTTCCGGGTACGTCGCCAGTGCATTCTCAAACGCTTTATCCTGCTCTCTACTCCAGGAGCAGTCACTCGTCGTTTCGTCCTTGGTCATATAGCTAAAGCTACGTCAGCTACCGGAAGAGATCGTTGATTGACGGACTACAATTAGTCCAAATCAGCCTGTAGGATTCAGAAGGGTATGTATTTGGTGTAAGGATCCAATAACAACTGTAGGTTGAGTTGATATAACAAAAAAAATGACTCCCAAACAGCCTGGCCGAAGCTTAGAGTTGAGCCTGGAGAGAAACAGACAGGCATAGATAATGCCAAGAAAGCTGGACTCGAGATCACCCCCAAGAAATATCAAAAAATCCCAGTGAGGATTGTGTGAAGAAATGAATTGTATCTAGCCCCCCTATTTGGAAACTTGAATCCTGTGAATTGATGACCTGTTGAATAAATGAAAAGGCAACCGCCTTAGGAGTCAATTTCATCCATGAGAAATATCTGACTACCAAACACGTAATGAGTATAGTCATCATTGTCATGGTGAATTCTGGAGAATGGTAAGTTGGGCTCTTCTGATTGTGAGTCTTGAAAGCGACCAAGAAAAAGACAAACAAAATAGAAAAAAGCCAGGAGTCTAATGAATTAAATAATTTTCATCTGTTGCTTCAAACTTTTCTAATAAATCAGGGAAAAAAAATTCCGGCCAACCACTTGCCCACTGATAAGAACAATTCTAACAGCACAGGCCCACAGCAATTTACACCTTTTACACTGCATCACCAACAACTGGTTCACAGCACATGCTTTTGCCTCCTTATTTTCTCCTCATTTTGTTTCTCGTACAGGTCTACAACTTGTTATAATGACCTTCAAGCATAATTAAGAGAATGATGCGTCATTAAAACTGCCAGAACGAGAGAAAACCGTTTTGGAAATCATGTTCTCCATGATAGATTAGCCGTGCTGTTCTTAATAAGCAGTTCTGCACAATCAAAGCTGGGAAACAGGAATCACAGCTGAATCCCCAGTGGTAATTTTTTGAAAGACAAAACACCAGAAACCGCAGAATTCTTTTAACTAGTTAAACCAACGAGCTTTATGTCTAAACAAGAAAGCAGGATCCTCCTGAGGTCCTTCCTTTTCCTAAAATTCAGAACAAAAGATTATTTCAAGTACTGTAACAAATTGGATATCACCTAAAACAGCTCAGAACTACCACTTCTAAGCACCGAGATTCTGACAGTTCGGCACTAAAAATCTCACTCACGTAGCATTAAGAAACAGTTATATTAACCGAGCAATGCGAAAATCTAACCCGTGACAGTGACCAAATCTTACTCATGCTCATCTCAGAGTAAGACAGTTATAGAAGCAATAAAAGAAAATAGCTCAAAACTTCCTAAAACAGTAATTGGCAATTCACAACAAACTAGCCATTCCTAAAATCCAGATAAATCCAGCACCCATTGAAAGAATAACAAAATGAGGTCGAGAAATGGTCCTAAAAAGGAGTAAAATATGCAGCGAACACAGGATGAGGATGGGTACCACTTACACGGCAATACAAACAAAAGGGAGCAGAGCACGATGATGGGACGAGATTGGTCCCATCCCCAAAAACATCTACTTGCCATTAACCCGACAACTTCGAACCAGAAAGCCTCTCAACCATACCAAAATCGCTAAAATCTGGAATCCACCAACACCCATTGATATCTTTTCTTCGTAAAAAACAAGAAACAAAAGAAAACCCATTAACATCTAAAAAATACAGAGCATCAGAAATTGACCAACCAACACAGCGACAGCTGATTTCCAGTAACTTTCTTCCCATCCAAACCAGCAAAGCAGTCTGACAGATGATCTGGGTCTGTGAAAATCACCTTCCTTCTTCTTCTTCTCAGTTGGCGAAGCCTACGAAGATCGGTCAAAGTTGCAAACTCTGTTCTTGGCGAAGTCCAATACCACGGTCAAAGGAGATGGGCCAATCTCAAGAAAAGACAAACAAACTAGTAACCAAAAAAGAAATGAATTCAAGTTCTTTTGGTCTGTTTAGTAACGTTTCTATTTCTTTATTTTTTTATTTTTTTTTCGGAATAAAATAAAAATAGAAATCTGTTTAGTAAAAAAAATTTATTTTTTTGTTTTTGGAACAAAAAAGTATTCCTAAAATAGATTTGGAACAGAAACAAGAAGCAAAAAAAATCTGCTTCTTATTTCTGGAACAAGAAAAAAGAAATGATTTTTTTCTAGAATACTCCAAAAACAAGAAACAATCCATTGGCCGCAACCCGCCCACCGCCGCCTCTCGCCGTCCTTCGCCGCCACCTACCGCCCGCCTTTCGCCGCCGCCCGCCGGCCAACGCCCGTTGACCGCCTCCCGCCTCTTGTCATCGACCACTGTTTTCCGCCGCTCGACGCTTGTCGCCACCGGCCGCCGTCCTCCACCGCTGGCCACCGTGCTCCATCGCACGACGCCGTGCTCCATCGCCCGATGCCGGCCGACACCCGGCGCTGGCCGCCTCCCCCCGCCAACCACCTGACGCCGGCGATCACCCACCACCGGTCGCCGTCCTCCGCCGCTGCTGGCCACCCACCACCGGCTGCCATTCTCCGCCGCCGGCCATTGTGCTCCACCGCCCGACGCCGGCCACCACCTGGCGCTGGCTGCCCTCGGCAGCCGGCCACCTCCCGCCTCTGGCCACCCGACGCTGGCGGTCACCCACCATCGACCGCCATCCTTCGCCACCGGCCGCCGTGCTCTATCGACCGACGATAGCCACCCTCCGCCGCTAGCCACCTCCCGCCGCTGCCCCCGCTGCCGTCATCGCCGCCCGACGCCACCGTGCTCCACCGCTTACCGCCGTGCTCCACTGCCTCCCGCCGCCGGCCGCCATTCTCTGCCGCCGCCGACCACCGTCCTTCGCCCCCCACCGTCACCTGCCGTCCTCCGCTGGTAGCCCAGAAGGGAGAAACTCGTCCATAGAATAGAAATGGATCATTCGCGCCCTAAACGCGTTTTTATTCTTTTTCTATTCCAGAAATAGAAATTTTGTGCAGTTACTAAACACTATTTTTTGCTTAGAAACTCTACCAAGAAATAGAAATAGAAAAAATAATTTCTGATCAGAAATTATTTCTGAGAACAGAAACGTTACTGTGCAGATCCTTTTTATCTTGTCTCTGTGCACGCTTCAATCATATGGGGGGTGTAATCCCTTATCCAAAGTCCAATGATTAAAGCTTTCTATTTTTATATTCGCCCGCCGCCATCGGCGTTCTCTTTTGGATAAAGGAGGAGACTTTGAATGGATAATGCAAGTGGGTGTTCTTCTTCTCTGAATTTAAAGGGAAGCTCGACTACTCGGTCAATTTCTGCGTCCTGGTGGAGCGTTCACGAGAGCACGAAAGCACATGGATGCCCGTGAATCATGATGGCCATTTCTTCTTCATTCTTCCCTCTTTTCTGGCCATTTGGTAAATTACACCCCATAATTTCTGTACTGTCTCGCACTCGTGATGAACGAGTCGAACCGTTATTACGTACTCCGCTTTGTGACCCGAACGTCCGAATGATGAGGAAATCGCCGTGACCGCTGACCACACGAGATAGCAAGCCTCATTGGTACCCGCGAACTCGTGAACGACACTTGATCCTTTTAACCTGCACAATCGTGCTCAATACTATTTTTTTTTTTTATAATCGAGGTATCTGCGCGGTCGACGAGCTAGGGCTCAAACCAGCGGTGATGCTCGACTAGTCCTTGAGGGGGCTAGCGCAGCATCCCACCGTCACGACCCCCACTTAAATCACCGATGGGCGAGTTTTGAATCCAGGACCTCTCGTGAAAGGAACTGAGCGCAAACCAACGCGGCCACCGATGGGTGGGTGTGCTCAATACTATTTGTGATGCTTAATTCGCTAAAATGCTTGTTTGGTGGTTAGAGGGAGAGAGTTTCTTGAATTCTTTGAATGTTATGACGATTTAATCAGCAAGGGATTGGAAGAGAGGTGAATATATCCCTTTATTAAGCAACTCTCAAAAGTAGTCTGATTGGGTTAATTTTATACTAAGTTCTTTCAAGAAGATTGTTTCCAAAAAGCAAGGTCTTCATGGAGCTTTTCTCCTATCATGTGGTCAATCGCTTTGCTTAGATTAGGGATAATGACACAAACAGTCCCTGAACTTTAACCCAATTTGTAATTTGGTCTCCGAACTTTAACCCAATGTGTAATTTGATCTCTGAACTTTTCATTTGTTCAATGTAGTCCATGAATTTTAGCTTAATGTTCAATTTGATACATGAACTTTTAATCTGTTTAATGTGGCCCCTGGACTTTTAATACATGTTCAATTTAGTCCCTGAATTATTTGAAAATATCAAATTACATATTAAGTCAAAATTCATGAACTATTTGTGTCATTTTCCCCTTAGATTACAAGGACATAGGTGTGTTAAGAAAAATGGCTTCGATTCTCCGCATAAAAACTTTCAAGTTACAATCTTTCGAGTATGATTACTAGATTCTCCCTTATAATTTGGGGTCTTGTTGTAGGGTCTCCTATACATGAGCTTTATCTCTCAATCCGTCCCTCCAAATTGCGCGAGATAAATCTGCCGTCATGTAAATGATCACATACATGGTTCGGAAACGAACGTGTAAATTGATCAGAGAAGGGATGACTCTGTGCATAAGCGCTGACATTAGTCGCCGCACATCGGCTAACTCGTTCTCTCACCCTCCTGCCCACAAACTTCAAAGATCAAGAGAGGTGAATGGTCTCTCAACTCACATGTTCTTGTCAGCCACGCAAGTTTTCAAAGAAACACGCCATGCTCTTCGCCTTCAATATGATATGAACGGTGATCGTTTTTATCATTGAGGAAGTAAAAGAGCAAAATTTTGCGGACATGAATACAGACCTCTCTACTAATTCTGACAGGAGAAATCAAGGATTAACCAAAGAATCATCAAATTGAAGTCACCAAAATCTCCATGGATCTTTATATGGAGGAACATAATTCTCTGTTGGTGGTAGGAGACGAAATGACGACACAGTTTTTTCGAGGAATGGTCCCATCTGCATCGAGAAGATGAAGATCTCAATTTAGGTTCAGTTGATACACTATTTACAATTTCCAGAGCGGAATTGCTACGAACTTATTGTGTGTGTGTGTGTGTGTGTGTGTGTGAGAGAGAGAGAGAGAGAGAGAGAGAGAGAGAGAGAGAGAGAGAGAGAGAGAGAGAGAGAACCTTGGTCCACTGCTTGCTGAGCGTTGAAGCATTCAGTGTGTATAGATAACCTGAAAGCAGAAGTGAGATGAGATCTCTGAAGAGCAATTGAGTAACACCAAATGTAGCAGATGAGTTGGAGCAAAAAGTTCCACAATATTGATATTGAGAAGTTTCAACCCTCACTAAAAAAACAAGATAAGAAAGAAAACACAGAGGCTTCAGCCTCATTAACACAAAAACAAAGAGGATATGGAAGTTCAAAGACAAATACAGACGGTATGCAGTAAGGCCTAAGGTTTCATATATTATAACATTTGAAACACGTGGAAGAAATTTTGAGAAAATATATGTTTTTGTTCCTACCATCTCGCTCCGCTGTTGAGGCAACATAATGTCTGTAAAGATTTGATTCTTGAGCCTGCAGTATTCCACGTGGCATGTAAGCAGTTGCCTCATTGGCACGTGCCCGATACTAAGAAATCACTTTTTAGAAAGAAATGACCTACATTTTTCGTTGGAGATTTGCGAACGAGGTATTCATAATACCAGTACGGCTCGCCATTGATCTGAAAATGAAAAGGTGAGATGGAAACAGAATCCATGTTTATATGAACAAAGCATAATGTAGAAAAGTTGCTTAATTAGCTGCAAAGAGAATTGCATTTAGTTCAACAAGTACATAGATATGGGACAATACATCACTAGAATGAGCATCGAGGACCGAACTCTCAGCCAAGCGCTGGGTTGAAGTGACTCGCTGCATAAACAAATACACATTTTAGTACTGCACTATACTCTGAGGAAATAGTTTGTCACATTTATTTGGATGTTAAGATTCTCAGAAGCATCATATTAAGATAAAATCTTGCATTTACACAACTGTTACATTAATTACCAGCTGCATTACAATTTTAGCCTGGTAAATAAGGATAAGTTGACTGTCTATATGACAGCCCATCAGGACCATCGCTTTACCATATCTATGCAGTCAAAGCTCATTCATAGAAGGGAGTCACCTTACCAGGGCAGATTTATCTGATAAAACAGAATCAGCAATATCTTTTGCTGACCATGAACTCTTTTCCTTTGATTTTAAAATCTGCAAATTTGGAGGACCTATCTGCAATAAAGGGACAACATAATGTTGAAAATTGTGCATTGTGTAAAAGGAGATGGTAGTGATTGGACGTTACCGAAACAGAGATGATGAGGTTATCAATAATGTCAACTCGCTCGGAAACAATGCGTAAACGTGCATCAGCTGAATTTCGAACAAACAGAAACCCATTAAATACAAGTTCAATGGCATGTCACCGTTTGCATATAATTGCTCAAAGCAGTTGCATAATTTCGACTAATGCTGTAACAAAATCATAGGGCCCAGTAATATTCTTTCTTTTTTAAAGAAGGATATATAAATATAGGAAATTAACATTTTTCAAGATAGCATATCGACAAAATTTGAAATGCATAATTTGAGGCATCCAGCAGCAATCTCACTATCTAGATATAATTATCCTGAGCTTAAACCCATGATTTACACCTCTCGAAGTAAAAGGGGTACACTATGCTAAAGAGAGGTGTTGTATTTCTGTCTTTGCAATGCTGAAGGGGGAGATAGACTAACTTACGGGACAGTGGTGCAGCTGAAGAATAGCGCTCAGGCTTTCTGGATTCCACCCTTCAAATGAATAAAGTTAGTGACGTGCCAACACAAAATCTCCTATGCTACAGATGTAAGCTTTCTTTAGGTCTGCAAATCACTCAAGATGAGTATGTCTCATGCAGCTTGGCCAGCAAAAGCCCAAAAAATCCACAAACTAGAAGGACCCAGGGAAATGCATGATGAGGTCCTGGCGATTGGCAGTCTAATGTATCCAGGATTTCACAAAATCACGAGTTACGAAAACTCATTATCATGGGGCTTATACTGCCCATTCAAGAAATTTCATAAGGCAAAACAGCAAGAGAGTTTTTTTGATTAATTACAAAAAACAACTCGGTACACATGAGTATTGGCAAAACCCCCTAAAAGGACACATGATTATCAGGCAATGGAATTTCAGAGCCTGGCCTACCAATTCAGTAAGGACCAATCTTAGCAACTGTGGAATCAGAAATGAGGCTTATAAGTCACACAATCCTCACATATTCTCAATAATGAACTTCTTCATGCACTCCAGTGGCGAAGGTCTGAGGTACCAAACCCTCAAAGACACTGCACAACATTTACATTTTCTATCGCAGTTGACCATTCAAATCATTGTGATAATTATGTCATCAAAATGTGGCTTTAGGGTCAAATATAGCCTAGAAAGCAATGAGACAACCTCAATGTTGTCCTATATACTTAGTAACAGATAGACACATCCATTCTCATACATCTGGAATTGACCTCTTATTCAAGTAGATATTTTGGAAGTAATAGGATACTAAGGCAGAGATAAACTGCTTGTTCAAGATGAAAAGTTAATGGAAATTAACATACCATTTGAACATGAATTTCTTTGATGGAAGGCCCACTGGATACAAGTAGGTATAAGCATTTATGTCATCAACTACTGAAGCCATTTTCAACTCTTCCTCGGCTAACGACCCTGCAAAACAGGGTAATATAACTAAGCCCGAATCATGGCCTGAAAACTAATTCCAAATGGCACAACTCGAACAAGGAACTTATCCGATTCATCACTTCTTTCACTGCAAGTTACTGGAACTTTTGCATTCCTTCTGAGGCCTCCATTTAGCTGAGGACTCCATAGGAATGAGGACGCGCTATTTGTAAGTTTTTACAGTACCGTTTTCAGTCTTTCTAGACACTAGAGCTGGCGCATATAAGCACGAGCTCGCTAGTCAAATAATTTAATACTTCTCCCCACGAGCAGGCCGGCGTTCATCCTAAACAAGAAGCATGAACTTATGCTAAACGGGGTGCTCAGCACTAGAACACACGGGCTTGCACTAACATTGTACGAGGAAATGTGCGCAGGGACCCGGATAGACGGAGAAATCTTTCAGGTGCTTCAGGAACACGAAGTCCCTGCACACCTGAAAAACCCGTGTTGTGTCCCGGGTGTTGGGAATATCCTAATTTTTCTTTTTGAAATGGCATCTGGCCGTGCGGTGATTGCCTCGGAATGGCGGGCTTAGGAAGCAGCTAAAAGTACCCTCCCAGATGTAAAGGTCAATGTTTAAATAACATATAAGACTCGCACGCAGCACTTCTACATCCGGTTCTGTTCGTTCCACAAATGGAAAAAGTGGAATTTGGGAAGCGGAAGAAATTCACCTGAAGAAGGAGCGACGCCAAACAAGGAAGAAGAAAGGCCAAACAGCACCAAATCCCTTCTTCCAAAACCATTAAAGAAGGCGGGTTCGGTTCTGGAACTCGAGCTCGCCATGGCTTTCGGAATTAACCCGCATTCCTTCCGTACAACCACGGCTCTGTTCTGGCATCTGGAGCCGAACCCACAAAAGGAAAACGCACATCACCATCGACAAGCTAAGTAGTACTCAGAGAGAGAGAGAGAGAGGACCTGAAGCAGAGTGGATTGGAAAGCGAAGGAGATAGAGGAAGCATCGTGAGGGAAGAATTTCTGGAGCTGGTGGTTGGGTTGGGTTTGCTCTCAGAGAAGAACAATGGAACTGGAGAGGAAGGAGCTTGGGCACTTCCCACGTTCAGCTCATCCCCTCGGAGTCTCGGACACAGGATCACACTATCGCTTCTTCTTCAGCCACAGAGAGAGAGAGAGAGAGAGAGAGAGAGAGCTATATTCCATTAATTGTCAGAGAATAATAGCTATACTATTTTTTTTTCATAATTAGATAATTTAGCAATGTAATTTTTCCTCCATCTTTTTTCTTTTTCTAATTTATTTTGAGAAAAAATCACAAAGAAAACTCAAAACTATCTCTACTATGACACATTTATTATGAATTTTTTTTTGTAAAACTAAAAACCCCAAGCTATGCCTACCGTGACACACTTTTTCGTCATAGTTTTGTCAAGTGATTTTTCAGCCAAAATAATGTTGTTTTATTTTACTCAAGCCACGTGAGTGCCATGTACACCGTTTGCTTTATAGATTCCATATAGATAGATTTTTAATAGTTCTTATTGACAAAACTTTGATGGAGGGTCAGTGTGTTGCACGGGTATAAGTTTGAAATTTTTTATGCCACATAAAAAAGTTTAGGGCGATGTGTCATTGTGAGTATAGTTTAAGGTTTTTAATGACTTTTGCCCTTGTTTTTAATAAGTAGCAATAACATTTTACGGCCTCTATATTTCAAATATAAGGATCGTGAAATGAAATTTCACGAAAATAATGTGCGTAAATTAACTTTTCTCTGGCATTGCATGTTTTTATTAAATATCAATAAATTCATCATACCCGATAATCGTATCTAAAATCAAAGTATAAGGGCATTGATAGATTTTTCGATCAAAGTATAAGTACATTGAAAGTTGTAAAACTTGTCACGAAAGTGTAATTGAATCTTAAAACTTTCAAAAAATTTAATCAAGTTCTAAAACTTGTCAAATTGGTTCAATCAAGTCATTCCATTAACTCTGTTCAATTGGGTTAATGAAAAATGCAGACGTGTCTTATTTTATTACTTTCTTAAGACACGTGGTAAAGATGTAGCGTCCACCAAGTGCCACGCCTGAAAACGATTAAAAATTAAAAAGAAAATGCAAACCAAATTAGATTAACAAAAATAAAAAAAACTTAAAGTTGAAAAAAACACAAACTGCAAATAAAAAAAACGCAAACGAAATCAGTCTCGAGCATTGGTTGGTGGTCGCCACCACTGTCCATCGTCGGAAAGGGCTAGAGGAAGTCGCCTGGGCCTCACTGATGGCTGTCGACCCTCGCTGTTTATTTTGAGGTTTTCTCTGCATGGCAAAATTTCGGCCTGTTACTAAAACAATAAATAATGTGTTCTCTCGAATGAACTTTGCAAATAGCAACAATAAATAGAAATGACACTCCTACGATTGAAATGAAATCTTAGATTCATAAGTTGGTATGCTAAAGCAAGCAAGCCCGGGTTCGGATCTTATCTATCTGTTGGTATCCACACCCTCAAATCGGTTCAAATTGAATACTGATGGCTTGGTGTTTGGTAACCCGAGTTTAGATCCACCTGGGCAGGCGGGTCAAGGTATTCTCTTTTCATACGAGCCCTTAAACGTGGGCTTCTTCTTCTGTATGAAATTACGCATTAAGACGGAATCAAGCTGTTCCCCGGGTTAATTGAACGTATCTGGTCGTGCAATGTAAGACGGCAAACGTTAACACCATTGATTTCTAGCCAAAATTGGCCACAATGACTACATTGACAAATCGTCAAAATGTTTATGACTGAATTAACCAAATTAAAAGGTTTAGGACTGAATTGGTACAATTGTAATATGTTTAAGACTTTTTTGGCAATTTCTCCAAAGTTAACTTAAGTACATAACTTGTAATTTTTGACACTAGGAAAATTAATCACACCCATGTTTGGCAGATACACGAAACCTGCTTATTACTTCTCCTCATCATTTTCGGACCAAATTTGGAGGGAAAAAAGCACATATTAAATTCTGAAAAGTTGTGAAATATCATATCCGATTCTATATATATTTGCAAATTTTGGAAAATTCTAGTGTTTTGCTAAATAAAAGTTGAATTCTGGCTTTTGAGAACCGCAAGATTAATAAAAAGTGAAATTTCAAGTTTTACTCACTCGAAACGCACTTGCACTCAATATAGGGTGAAGCCTATAAATTTCATATTGCATACTTATTATAGTACTTTTTCCTCTTCGTTACCAATGGAAAGTTATTTTGCAATTGTATTTGTGAAGTTCTTACTATCGCAATTACTACAGATGTTTTTTTCGACATTTCATTCTGCCCTAATTTCTCAGGGTATAAAGGGAAGTCAATAGTTAAGTGTTGACTCTCTATAGACTAGTGTGTGGATAGACGATAGAGCAGTAACAACCCCTACCATAGTTCTAGGACGTGGGAGATGGACAAGAATAGACTATACTAAGTAGGGAAAGTATCGCTTGACAGTACAAGTCAACACTTACGAGGAACTAAGGATATGAGTTTGTAACATCTCAAATCCCACGTCGGTTTGGAGAGACCTCTTAAAGGTATAGAAATATTCAAAGTCGATTAGGATTTTGGGTTGGGGGTTGACATACTCTGTAATGACATTTGAGGTAAATGGACATGATGAAATGCAGTTATTCTGTGATCGAAGAGGATCCAAACCCGGTTCTTTCATGTGACAAGGCTTGTTCCTCCTTTTCTTCCTTATAAAATGCTCCAAAAAGTGCATCAGGAAAATCATCAATGCATGGCCGGAAGGGGGATTTACTTGGATTAGAAGCTAAAGCAAGGGTTTTATTTCGATTCATCACATATATGAGCAGCACTACACAGTTGTGGATGGCCAGAGATGAAGATTGAGTGAGGCTATGCATACAGAATGGTGACAAAGATATGAACTACGCATATCATCCTACGCCATTTATGGAGCACAAACACCTAAATATATCTCTAACATATTCATCCATGTATAAAAAAATAGCACGACTCGCGATCGCAACAAATAATATGTAAGCACCAGCACATAAAGCTTCTCACATATCTCGTCCTTGACATTCCCCATCACAACCTTATCAAATCACCTCACCATCCCCAAAAGGAGAATTTTCCGAGAAGTGTTAGGCCAAGACCTCTCTCTGGCCTTCATGAGCAAAACCCTCGCCCATGCCACCCATCCTTCCCAGGATATCCTCTTGTCCCAGGGAGTCCCCCACTCCAGCAGCAGCCTCAGCCTGGCCTCGGCCTCCCTCTCCGCCTCCTCGTACCGCCCTTTCCCGAGACATAGCTGCCCCAGCACCACCCTCGGCTCCCCAACGAACGGGTTCTTCTCGATGCTTTCCCTCAGCCTCCGTTCCACCGCGTCGTAATGCTCAGCTCCTCCCGACTTGCTCACCTCGCACGCCGCTTCCCAGTACTTGTCCCTTGCCTCTATCTGGTCCATTGTGCCGAGGACCCTCGAGCATGACTCGAACACCGGCGGCACCACTAGCTGGATGTCCTCATCCCGCTCTTCTGACGGCGGCACGGAGTTGGCGTTGCTCGTGCCCATCTTCTTCTCGAGCATGAAGATCTCTTCCTCTCTCACTATGAGCATGTAGACTGCGGCCATCCTTGATAGCGAGTTCATCCAGAGCCCGGGCTTCCCATCCCCGGGCCACAATGCCCAGATATTGTTCCCGGTTAACTCCAACCGCCCGGCGCCATTCTCAAACAGCACGTCCTGAAAAGTAAATGGTGTCAATTTCTCATCCCAGCATAACTCGAACGAGGTGCAATTTTACTGAGAGAAACTCTAAATATAACCAATCGACTCGTTCGTTTATAGGAGTAATATTTCTAACGTACCGGACCAAATCAACAGCAATAGTATTGAATAACAAATCAGAGTTCGACAAACACCACAGCCGTTACCTGAAACCCAAAGAACTGCTCGCTGAAATCGGCCATGGTCATCATCAAGAGAAGAGCGACCACCCTCCTGGAAACGAGCAGGTCCTCTCCGGTCTTTCTGTGCTTCACCATTATCCCCTTGGCGGGCAACAGCGACTGGACCTTCTTCCGCCAGGCCTCATCGCCTTTGAACGCTCCCTTCTTTTTGGTGTTCTGGAGGGACATCTCTGAGAGCTTCAGATGCTTGACAAGCTCTGAGTCGTCGTAGTGGAAGAGCAGGTCGTTGTGGATAAGAATCAGCCTCGGGATAATGCAGTAGAGGTAAATGAGGCGCTCGGCGGCATTGCCAACATGGCTGCGGATGACATCACGGCCAGTGTTTGGTTCGAAGATGGCCAGGTCAATGGTGGGGTAGGCGGAGTGGAAGAGGCCGCCGAGGCATATGGCGTCAGGGGCCCCCAGAGATGGAGGATGCGGTAAATGTTGATGAGGTGCTCAAGAAAGCTGTTGTGCTTGTGCCAGCACTCCCCGGTGCCGACTGAGCGGAGAGTGGCCCCAAGGGAGGGGAGGCGCGGGTTGATGACTTCGAGCTCGCCGCGCAGGAAGGGCCGTGCGGCATCGAGCAGGGCTTGGAGGTCGGTGGTGGTGGGAGGAGAGAGAGATTGTGGTGGTGCTGTGGAGGCCATAGTAGGGAGGAAATGGAGTTTAAGATTGGTTTGTGCAAACAGTTGGCAAATAACAAGAGAAATGTTTTTTATTTTTTTGCAGAATTAGCGAGGATGAGCGCAGATAACTAACTCAAACAAGAGTTAGTGGCGAAAAGTTAGTTGGTTATTTAATCATAATAAAGTGTTGCTATTGATGATAAAGATATTTGCTGTTCGTTAATTTTTCTAAATGATACAAACAAATATTTTTAGGAAAATATTTATCAAGTTATTCAATGTCAGCGAAACAAACAAGCCCCCTTATGCCCAACTCAGGCAAAGAAAGAGGTAGCCGATCAATCACAACCCGTTGTCTTCACGCAACATGTGATCTGTTCTATTTGTGAATAATTTCTTCACGTATTCAAACTATAATTGCACGATGATACGTGACTGTAATCTCAGATATTATCCGCTTTTGTTTTAAGGACGAGAGCGAAAGTTGTATACCATCCCTTTAATCAATGAGTCCACAACCTAACTCTATAT